AATCCCATTAAGGATAATTAATTATGTAAGATAAATCTGTTATGGGGTGCCCTAATTAGCTATGGAGGACTCACTATACTGCTTGCATAAGGAGTAAAGAACATTATGCGGCTTCCCCTTCCTGAACTCATGCAATGCAGCAAAAAGCAAATCTAAACTTCAACAAACTTAAGGTACAGTTTCTCAGGCATAGTGAAGACTACTGTAGTTACTGAAGCAGATATATTGCATGCTGCCACAGTAACAGAACATTAGATAAGTAAAGATCAAGTAAGGGATTAGCCTGATTTACCACCATGAAGGTCTTCATTTTTACTTTAAGCTACATAAATTTTTTTATCATAACCAACAGCTGGAAAAGATTGTATTGGCTTTAGTGAAAACAAAAAATGTGGTAACATGATGTAATACACATGTAAAATATGTATCTATGAAGAGAATGACTGGTCATTTACAGTATTTTTACTCCAGTTATAATTGAAATTGTTAACTTAGTGAATGTTCCTTTCATTTGAATAAGCTGCATCCTCATTTTCTACTCAGGCAGTTTTAGAGAAAGCTGCTTGGAATGGATCTTATTTTTTAAATAAATTATAACTAATCTTCTTTAATGACTTATGAGATTATTGAAGCCCTTATATACACAGGAACATGGAAATTCATTTGCATGAAAGTTGCAGTATTGTTTCAGGTTTATAATTTTTTTGTATGAAATAGTGTGTATGTGTTACATAAGATTATAATAAAATACTATAAAATATTTTTAAGCAAAACGGTTCAAAATATTACCAATCTACTTGTTTTTCTTTTAAATGATCTATAAAGAAGAAAGGATAGCACTGATTGAAGGAATACAAGGAGTCACCTTTATAAGGATGAGGGGGCAGCAGAGGGAGACCACAGAAACCATTTTTTCACATTGTATTCGTTTCTAGTTTTCCCACAAGAAGCACGACGACTCCGTTCCCACGTTCACAAGAGCTGCTCTGTAATAATGGGGATATGTGGGGAAGGAGGCATAAGTAAACTGGACAGTTGAATGATGGGAACAGGGTGCTGTCTCCTCCTCTAGCTACATAAAGCAACATATTTTACATAAGGTGTCCATCTGGCTTTCTCCTTGCCCACTGCAAAAGAACATATCTAGTAAGGGATCAAACAAACTGCAAGAAGATGAACAAGAACTTTTTAAAAGTAAATCAGCACTGGTTTTGATTTTTGTTTTCCTTTACAGTTTACATACCCTCAGTAGATCCTGAAGGTCCTCTGAACTAAATAATTCTTAAATATTTGCGTAATACTGAATGATACAGCTCAATAAATTGGCCTTTGTATTACAAAAGAAGTCTACAGTTAAGTTCAAGGAAAATGGAAGTGAAAATGGATCTACTTGATCTCGTAATGACTGATAAATTGCCATTAAATATTGATTACATACATGGTAAATAAATATGAAAAATACACAGGAAAAAGGAAAATAAGATCAAAGTTAACATAGAACTATGAGTTTGCTGAGTTATTTTCTAAGTTGAATATTGAACCTTTTGTCAAGCTATGATCAACATAGTACATTCATTGAGCTGATTCATGGCAGTTACATCATTTTATGCTGGCATTACTGGCTTCAGCAAGCTTGACTGACAGAAGTACAACAATTCTTGTTACAGAAAATATTTATAAATATTGTAACAAAAGAGCACATCCAAGCCGCTGAATCAGCTTTCTACATTTCCTAACATTACCATCAGAGGGAATTTTTCTTTGACAGTCTCTGCTATATAGATAATACTTAAAATTACAGATAATACTTAAAACTAAAAGAAGTCTGTACTGTAAAAGCATACATACACTCTATTAGAATTAGGAATTCAGTGAGAATGGCGTAATGGGATCTATATTTAGACTGGAAAAAAAGAAATTCATTTTTTTATATAATTACTTTTGCACTGCACAAGATTGGAAGCTTCCCTTTTTTCCATTGATCCATCATTCAAGGTAAAGTATTAGTTCCAATTACTATTCATCAAGGAGATAAAAATCATTGCTTAATTTTATATCATACTGTACCATGAAATCCCTCTTTTGCATACTGATTCATTCTATTAACTATTTTTTTGTCTTCTGAGTCATTTTGCTCATCTGACAACCACAATAACAATATTTGAGCTTTTAAAATTTATATTCAAACTGAATTGTTTTATCCAAGGAAAGATTACTTAAAATTAAATGAAAACTACTACATACCTTTCCAAGAGCAAAAGAATTTCAGAAAAATAAAAAAAAAATGCTTTGATAATTACTGGGCCAACTCAGAAACTTCTTATCTAGATTTTATTTATGAAAAACTCTTAATGGCAGAATGAATTCTGTTTGAATAAAGTTTGTAAATATCCAATAGCTATCAAAAAATAAGTAGACAAAATGGAGAAACTATATATTTTGAAAATGTTTTTCCAGTTTAAGTCAGATCACACCCTCATTTTCAAAGCTTCCCATAAGCTTCAATAAGTTAAAAATACTGTTCTGAAAATATTAACCCAATTAATTTCTGAGATTAAATATTCTTTTCAGTAATAAAAGCTGATGAAAAATGGCATTTATAAGCCAAGAGATGCTCATATTGGCAATCTCAGCTGAACGAATGATTCCTAGGAAATCAAGGACAGTTTCCCTGTCCCAGCTTTGTAATAAAAAACCTGAGAATACTAAGAATTTCCGGGCTTTCCAGATGTATAAATGGAATTTTCTGTATTTCAATTTGTGTCCATTGCCTGTTCTCTTTTTGCTGAACACCACTGAGGAAGAGTCTGGCTCCATCTTCTTCACTCTGCCCCATCTGGCATTTATACACATTGCTAAGATCCCCCGAGCCTTCTCTTTTCCAGGCATAACAGTCCAAGCTCTCACAGCATCTCCTCATATGACAGATGCTCCGCTACCTTAATCATCGTCATGGCCTTTTGCTCGACTCTCTCCAGTATGACCATGTCTCTCCTGCACAGGGGAGCCCAGAACTGGACTCAACACTCCAGATGCGACCTCACCAGTGCTGAGCAGAGGGGAAGGATCACCTCCCTTGACCTGCTGGCAATGCTCTGCCTACTGTAGACCAGGGGGCTGTTGGCCTTCTTTGCCATAAGGGCGCATTGCCAGCTCCTGTTCAATTTGTTGTCCACCAGGACTCCCCAGGGTCTTTTCTGCAGAGCTGCTTTCCAGTTGGTCAGCCCCCAGCCTATAATGGTGCTTCCCAAGTGCAGGAGTTTGCATTTTCCCTTGCTGAATTTCACGAGACTCCTGTTCACCCATTTCTCCAGCCTATCAAGGTCCTTCTGAATGGTAGCACAACCACCTGGTCTATCAACTACTCCTCCCAATTTTACATCATCTGCAGACTTGCTGAGGGTGGCTCTGCCCTATCATTCAGATCATTAGTGAAGATTTTAACCAGCATTGACCCCTAGGGTAGACCATGAGTGACTGGGCTCCAGCTGGAATTTACTGTGTGAGCCTCGCAGTCCAGCCAGTTTTCAATCCATCTCACTGTACACTTTTCTAGCCTGTACTTCATCAGTTTGTCAATGAGAATGTCATGGGACATTGTCATAGTGTCAAAAGCCTTGCTGAAATCAAGACAAAACCATATCCACTGCTCTCCTCTCATCCACCATGCTGGTCATTTCATTGTAGAAGGCTATCAGGTTGGTCAGGCATAATGTCCCCTTTGTAAATTCATGCCTACTCCCAGCCACCTTTTTGTCTTCAAAGTGTTTGGAAATCCTAAGCTTGAAAGTTAGAGGAGTGTGGAACCTCTAAGAATCCTACTCAAAACAAGATTTTCAAAAATTCCAGGCCTCCAGCTACAGAGATGAGAGCCCATTCCCTGTCAAAACCAGAACTTCCAAGGTTTCCCAGCCCTAACTCCTTGATAGGTGCCCAAAAAATTCAGTCAGGTATTTCTAGCAATGCATATAATATGCAATATTTGACCACTGTAATAACCAGAAACTTCAACCTTGTTGTATTCCTAGGGGTCTAGAGAAGCAGCATGCAGAATACCACAGCGATATCTGAGCTCTGTTTAAGCTTTCTAGCTTGTCTATAGTGACAGAGCTGATCTCGGCATGGTCTAATTCAACGAAACCAGAAGCTGAGACAATACTGGATCTTGTAACAACACATGAGCCACCAAAGTGAACAACTAGCCAGTCACTCACCGTGCGCTAATAGGACATAGGTTTTGCTCTGTTTTTCTTAAACAAGAACCACACTCTTTTCTCTGGAAAGATATTTTTAATCCAAAGGGAAGTCCCTTTCTCTTCGTCAGTTTCTGGGCTTTTATCCCTCAGTTCTCAACAAGGAGTCAAGCAAGAGTCCCCTGAATCTGTGCCTATCAGTTTACAATAACCATCAGTATGCTCATTATAGAGTACTTAAGAGTTCCTCCTTTCTATATTGTTTTTAGATTGAGTCGATCTAGATAAAGACTAAATCTAGTCTTTATGTTAAACTGCTATGAAACCACTGCTACCAGTACAGGAAAAAGTTAAAAACCAGTTCAAAGTATTTATAAATTAATGGAATACCTCAATATCATATAATTGCTATATCAGGTAACAAGTTGATGTAAAAGAGTGAAGAGCCCTAAAGAGTTAATATTTAATTTTCAGTCTACTACTTAGATTAGAAAGATGAAGCATATTCAGAATTGAACTGCAAATGAAAGAAAAAAATTGTTTATTCCTTGTAAAGCCATTCAAAATTAATCTCTATTTGACTCCGTCATATACACAGCTTTTCATAAGGTTCTCTGTTCTAAGAGAAGTAAATAAAGGTAAATAATGCATAATATAAATATTCCAGTGAATAAGCTAAAACAACTTGCCTAAGCACATTTTATTAATCATAAAACTTTTCTTAAAGACATTTAAAACTATAGCACATAAGATTCTTAATTAGACTCAGGAATATGCAAACTGACAGCCACAAGGGCGAACACATACCCTTAATAATCGATTCAGCTGCATACAGATCCCGCTTGTAGGTCACCTAAAGGACAGACAAGCCTCATTAGATTTAACACAGCAGGAGGGAATGTAAAACCAATAAAACAATGCCCTGAAGGCAATTCTTTACATTTGAAATACCATAAACAAATGATATTGTCAATTTCTTAATTCTGGTAAAATATCACTGGCAAGTCATGAGAACAGAAGTTGCAGAAATTACCAGAGACTTAAGAGAAACCTTTTTTTTAAATACTTAGATCTGCTTAGAACTCATTTGAAACCTAAAACTATTTTTAACTCCTTGAAGAATCATAAAAACATGGTATTGCATCCATTCTATTCTATAATTTTATTGTGAAATAGATTCATTTTTTATAGGACTTGTGATCATAAAAATGACAACCAGGGAGAAGCCTCGTTATTTCTTTTACTGACATAGGTTTAATTTTTCAGTAGTGCAGGACTATTACTATTAATGAGAGTCCAATTAATCAGTGGGAGTCAGTGAGACTATAGCAGGCTTTGTATGAGCTCTCAGAGGATTAAAAACCATCAAGATCTTCTTGAAGACATTAATCAGATCAAGTTAGTTGGACAATAAGATGCTGAATATTTACTTGGTACTTGCAAAAAACACCTTTCACATCTGCCTTTGTATCCTCATGGTGATTGACAGTCCCAGTATTAGGCTTCGCAAATAAAATAACAGAAAACTAATGACAGCATCTACCCAAGACATTAACAGTCTTTGCTAGTAATGTCTTCGCAATGACATGCAGTGACATGAACTGATGTAACTCCTAAATATTTGTCTTTGTTTTTACCGTAACTTCCTTTTATGTTAAATAAAATATTACTGGATTTTCTGCATTTGTTTCTCCAGAGCCTGAATAACTTTTTTCTTTCTTTTTTAAATGGACTGAATAGGATTCCAAAAGCTTTAGTGCTGCAAAGTAAATGTTACAGCAGAAACATACCACTGTAGGAATTAGCATTTTAGTCTCCAAGTAAACGATTATTTGGTTTTATCATAAGGATTCTTGTAACCGCTTTCCTTTCCATCTCATAAATTAACCTGTGTATTGTAGTCAGAAACAGATGAGTAATATTACCTTTCTCATTACTCATCATTTCCCCAAGGAATTATGTTCCTTTAAAATTAAAAATTAACTTACCTCCCTACAGCTTGTCCTGCAGGAGAAGCAGCCAGAGAATGAACCTAGCCTGAGAAATTTTAGGTGTCTGAGTTTACATACTGTTGGGAAGAATCAATGTCTTGAATTTAAATTTAAGGACAAAGAATTATTGAGTGACCAATTTTGTTGCAAGGTTTCTTTCTAATTACCTGTTTCTAGAGGGCTTTTATACTGAACTTTCAGTAAACCTGTAACAGATTACCATCTAAAAACCCTTCAAGAAACAAGACTATCTAAGCTCTGTCAAAAGCTGTCTCACGTGCTCTAAGGTTCACAATCTCTTCGAGATGCAAAAGTATTTTTAAATAATCTGATTTTAAAAAGAAGTTACTTCATAAAGTAGGCCCAGTCTTCAAGAAAACACCACAGAAGAAAATAAAAATAAGAATGCACCTTTAAAATCACTTCTGAAATTCTGAGCCAGACATCAGCAAATACTTTTTAGGGTGGTTTCCTAGAGAAATAAATCATCTGAGACTATATCACACTATCCATATGTTTCTTTCATAATCTTCGATCTTATAAGCTAATTTCAGATACGAGCTCCTATAGCCATTATGAAAATAGTAAAGTTGACAGAGAGGAAAACTCTGCCAGCTACCACAGGTGACCACCACTTACCAGTCAGGGAGGGAGGGATTCTCTACACCTCTTTCAGTATTGAATAAGATGCTACATCCAACTAGTTTCCTTTAAGGTATGGATATTCATAACGTCTCTGGATTTTCTTGTGTTGATTAAGAGGTGTTCTTGCAATTTCGACGAGACTTATTCAAAAGGCAGGCAACCACGACAGAGACACCCTTTGGTTTAATTCTAACCATTGATTGTTTTAGTATGAATTTGTTTTAAACAACTTTTAAGGCTAGTCAACACGTCAGTTTATTGTTCTGAGCAGCTATGCTGCTTTATCTCTAGTTTCACTAAAGTGGATTTGCATTCTAGGCTCACCCCAGCCAGAAGCAATTCAGATCTAGCCAAATCAACCGGGAAGAGTACTTTAACTGCCACTCTATACCAGGAAGTAAGATGGCAGCCCAGGTGAGGTGCAAAAATCACAGTGGAAAAAGAATAAGCAAGAAAAATGACACACAGGAGTTCTCTCTCACTTTGCAGAAGAGAGATCTTCCACCTCATCCATTTCTGGTTTTTTTGTATCACATTACTAAGCTAAATCTCTATGGACTTGTCAAATTACCATTTAATCTTCTTTTTCATGCTCTTCTCTGAACCTTCTCTATTTATCAACAGTTGCACAGAGCTTGAGTCCAGATTTGACCACAGTATTCCAGATGCACTTGTAATACTAGAACATCTCTTTTCTGATTTCATATTCTTGTTTCTGTATCTGTGGCTGACATAAGATATTTTGTGCCCACAGTGGAAACCTGCTGTCCTCTGTGATTCCACCACTTTCAAAGTCACTGCCTGCCTAGAACAATTCTCTAAATATGGCCTATACTTTTTTTGTTTCTAAAAACACTTCTTTATATTTGGCTGCAACGAAAAGCATACCTTCTGTTTAAATTGTTTGCCATGCAATCCTTATCAATAGGTTACTTCTGATCAATTATATTTTTATTTACAAATGCTTAAATCTTTGTGTTGTCTGCAAACTTTATCAGACAAATGTCAAATAGCTTAGAGACAATAACAGTTTCTGCAGAAATGTACGTGGTGAGAATTATCTTTTGAAATATATCAGTTACCCAATTTTTAATCTATTTAATGTGAACTAGTACAATTACAGTCATCCTATTTTTAATTAAGATGCCATGTAGTAACAAGTCAAATTTCTGCCAACCATATATTGTATCAGCACTACCATCTTTATCAGCCAAGACTATAATATTGTGAAAAGTCAATTTCACAAAATAAGTAAATTCCATGTTGGTTGACATTAATTACTTTAGCCCCTTAACTCTTTATTAATCACATTCTGCCTGTAGCAGAAGTCTTTAAATGCGTATCAATCTTTTAAAAATGTTCTTACAATGCAGTTTTCTGCATTATACACACACATACATATTAAGACTCCAACAATTACATTCTGTTACATGATTTTACACTTTATTTAAGAGGATATCGCCCCAGAACATTTAAGGTCATTTTGTTTCAAAACTGTCAAGCACAGAGAACCTGAAAATGTGGTGTTGATAGTGTCATTGTTTCCTTTTTGCCATCCTGATCCTAAATATCTTATAAATAGTTATTAATAACTACATTTATGATAGAACTTATAAATATTTATAACACTGAAGTAATTTGAATGTTCCTGCCTGGTTGTTGTCACTAAAAAGAATGATTTTAATTTTGTAATTTGTTACCAGAAAGTAAACAAACTATCTCTTGCTTTAGCTCCAACGGTAAGTGACTGTGACTTTGAAATGTTACTTTTTCTAATGCACTATAAGTAGACAGCGCTCAGGTAGAATAATTAGAATTAATTCAAGAAAACAATATATATGCACACATAAGGAACTTTTTCACACAGCTCTCAGTCATTTAATGTTATGTAGGTTATGCACCTAATAAATAAACAGAATTCTTACAAATATCAGATCTGTTCTTTAAAGATTCAAGGTCCACATACAATGAAACTGGTTTGTAATACTTAGACTTTAGTAACTGTTCTCCACCTGTTAATTGACTGCAGTTTTTCTGTTACACATCCTCTGAAACCTCAATTGAACAATGATTATTTATTTCAGTTCTCATTTATCTGGATGGAATATCTTTTTGCCTCTTGTTGAAAATATAAGATTAGGGACATTGGGAGCACATCAGTTCTTGGCACACGAAATATAATTTATCTCAGCATTGAAAAGCCTTACAGAAAAAAATAACAACTTATTACAAGTTACATTATTATGACAGCTAAGGAAAGACAATTCTGCTTCTGAAAGGTGATCAGTAACGAACAGCAATAGCTCCTAGCCATTTGGTAGGCAAGCATCACTTGAGAAAATTGGCAGTCTTCTGCACTTCATCAAACTGCGCAGGCTGAGCACAAATGTTCTCTTCTTTAATGGTACTGCTCCAAGTCACCTGCCAATCACCCCAGTACAGAGTGACTAATACCAGGGTGCTATTCAAGCAGGAAGGAGCCTAGAGGCACTACCAGCATCACTGACTGGCTCAGCCTTGGCCAGCGGTGGGTCCATCTTGGAGCCAGCTGGCATTGGCTCTATCGGACATAGGGGAAGCTTCTAGCAGCTTCTCACAGCAGCCATCCCTGTAGCGCCCCTGCTACCAAAACCTTGCCATGCAAACCCCATACAGACTCTTCCACCTGATCCACAGTATTTTCAGCTTTTCTGCCTGAATGTGCCTCTCCATGATATTCTCCAGTATGCCACCATCTAAAAAAAAGTTCTCTGCCCAATACCCGAGCACCTACGAGGAATTCTACAGTTGTTATCATCTTCCATGTGTTTACAGGCCTCTTAAAGTCCAGTGTCACTGCAAAGAATGCCACTTTCTAACATGCTAGAAAGTTAACAGCATCAGGATTTTGTTTCTCCAGCAAATATTGGAGTGGCACTAACACTTCAACAATTCTCTTTTAAAACAGAGATGTGCACAAGATCAAGTCTGAGGTGTAACAGGGGGCTGGTTACTAGTGCTGTTCCTCAGGGGCTGATACTGGGGACAATACTGTCTAATATCTTTATTAATGACCTGGGAAAGGGGAAATACCCTCAGCAAACTAGTAGATGACAACAAATGGGGAAGTATTCAATATGCTCAAGGGAACAACACTCATTTAGAGGGATCCTGAAAGGCTGGAGAAAGGGGCTGACAGAAACCTTGTGAAATATAACAAACACAAATACAGCATCCTGCATCTGGGACAGAATAACCATGCAGCAGTCCATACTGATGTCAAAAGAGCTTTGCAGAAAAGGACCTTCTGGACAAGCTGAGCATGAGTCAGCAGTGTAGAGCAGTGCAGAAAAGGAGTCCAACTGACTGGGCTGTATTAGTAAGGAAGTAGACTTCACTACAGGGAATACAGGGATTATTCCCCTGTATTCGGCACTTTTGAGAACACACCAGAGTACTGTTTCTAGTTTTGGGCTCCCCAAATGCAATGAGGAACAGGAGGAAGCCCAGCAGAGGGCTGCAACAATAGTGTGAGAGAACTTGGCTCGCTCAGCCCAAAGAAAGAACATGAAGGGTGGGGAAGGATCATAATGAATGGCCATAGAGAAGAGTAAACGGGACTTTTCTTGCAGATCCTTCTGTTTCATCCTTCCCCAGTGCAAGAGGCAGCAAGGGAAATGCTGACCAAATATTATGAAAAAAGTTTCCTCCATACCGGGGGATATGCATTGGAATTATTTCCTCCAGAGAGTCTGTGAAATCTCCATTCTTGGAGATATTCAAAACTCAACTGGACAAGGCCCTGCACAGCCTAATCTAACTAACCTGGCCCCACTTTCAGCAAGGTGGTGGACCAGATGACACCTAGATATTTCCTTCAGTCTTAACTATTCTGTCATTCTAGGTCAAAAGACTACATTTCATCTGCAGGGCATCAGTAGTATCTACAGATAGTAAAGAACTAAATAAACATTATAAAGAACTAAACAAACAATATGGGTGTTTTGTTACCCTTCATGTAAGTACCATGCTTTGCAATGAGAACAATGAAACCATCCAAAAAGTGATGTAATGCAAATATGCATGACATAATCTGTCCCTTAGAAGGCTGAATAGGAAAACAGGCAATATACTGTTTCAGAAAGATTATGTCCCCAGAAAGACATTGAAAGAAGTTGCTGTATGTAACCAACACACAAGTAAATTTTGCTGCTAAATTGCACAGGAAATTTGCACTGCAGATTCAGGAAATTACCTTTCTGTGTAAGATTTACTGTCATATTATGAGAAATCACGTCCCATTGGAGGAAATTTACTGTCAAAGACAGATGGAGTGATGTGAGCTGCTTCCAGATCCTTCAACGTGGTAATGAATAAAATAAAAGGAAACACTTAAAAACTGCATGACTTGACAGCTACTGAGAAAGCATAATGTCCCACCATCCAAAACAATGAAATGGGATATTTTTAAGCAGCAGGGACATATCTTTTGGCACCTGTATACACACCTGCTTTGTCAGTCGTCAGGAACCTACAGATTATCAGACAAGGTGAATCATGTTTAAAAAAATTTAAAACCTTGTTTGAAGAGGTCTTAAACATTACAGTGTTACTGGTATTTGGCATCAGAGAAAAAGTGATGTCCTTATAGGAAAAGTGGAGGAAAATAGACAAAAGGTATAGAAATAGCAGGGGAAAGCTCATCTCATAAAAATGTTCTTAATTTTAGAGATTAGGGATTATTATGGATTTGTAGTTTTACAGATTCTCAGGTTATTCAAGCACCTAGTTGGTTTTCCTACTTCCAGATAAATACTGTCTTCACTGATTATCTCGGGTAACATCTGCCCAAGTCTGTCTACAACAATAAGCTCTAAAAAAAGCTCATGATAACCCCAAAACAATTCTGAAACTTGGAAGAGAAAAGCCTAACTATTACAATTGAAAACACATCTGAATTTTTATGGTAATATGCAAATTTTATTAATTTTAAAAGACATATAAAAAATAGAGATATTATTGTCTTTACCTTCCAGAGGTCAGCTGTTCCTTCAACAAGTTTGGCATTTGTTTTACAGTATTTCAGAGCCAGTTGCAGACATTCAGTTCCATAATCCAGGTCATAGTCTGTACACTGTAGTAATTAAAAAAGAATAAATATTCTTAATTAGTCTTAAAGACATCATACTTTTAAGCAATAACAGATTTTCTTTCATCAGTTAAATCTTACATCTCAACAGTCTTGTCCAGAATAATACATGCTGTATTAGGTAGGTAGGTTCAGGATGGATCAGAAATAAAACCATTCCAAGAAGCTTATGCCAAATTCTAGCTGTCCAGCAAAGTGTTACAGAAGTAAATAAACACTTTGTAACCATAAATGAATTCAGTTAGGTGCTGCAAGTATCTTGCTACATCTTTATGTTGTTAACTAAATCAATGAGAAGTTACACGTATAAAAAAATTTTGGATGGAGTTGAGGCCTCACCAAAAGAAATCATCAACCTTCTAGTAACAAATTTCTAGAGTACAGGAACAAGTTAATAAATTGTAGAAGCATGACTCTTCAAATGCCTTGTCTGTTTTGTTTTTTGCAGCATCAAAAAAGGATGGTAATAACTAAGAACCTCTGAATTCCTTACATATTTCCCTCTATATTTTTCTCCAGTTATCCGCACACAAAATAGCAAAGCTTCATGCTGCTTCATGAGCCTTCCAGATTAAAAAAAAAAAAAAAAACCACAAAAAAACCAAACCGAAACAAACAAAAAACAAACAAACAACAAAAAAAAACCCCAAAGTTTGTCCACTTTTTAGTCATCTAGAAGAGGCATTCTTCTCTCAACACACCCTTCCCAAGCAGTTTGGCTTCCTATAGTTAGTGATTATAAGAATCCTATTAATGGAAAGCTGAGTAGGGAGCAGAATCTCTCGAGCCAAAACATAGGTACGTACAAAAGCAGGAACTGGGAGCTTATGAGACAGGGCTACCTCAAGATGAATTGGCCTGATTAAGATAAGAAAGTTCTAGTCTATTTTCATATTGCTAAATTACCAGTCCATCCAAAAACATGAATTACATGTAATAAGGAAGGATAATTTAAGATGGGGTCTTTAGTAAAAATGGATGTATTTGATAAGACCACAGGCTGGCTAGCCCAGTATTCAGTCTCAGGCAGAGGTTGACAGTGGATAGTCAAGGATAAGTAAATAAGAACAAGGCAATCATGTCTTCTTACTTTCCCAGAATACTCCCTTGGCCTCATATAAAGCTATTATCCTGGCTTAGGAAAGCCCTAAAATAAGAAGTCCCTGAGGGACACATTGAACGAGAAGCGACTGCCTTAACAGTCCTCAGTGAACTACAGGAATCCTGAATTCACCCAATTAGTTTTTGAATAGTAGTATTTTTTTGGCACCAGCATCAGGGAACATCGGATTCATCACTCTCTTCATCACGTGCTCTGTTCTTCTGACAGAAAAGGGAGTGCAAAACCGCCCTCTCAGCCCTTCAAAATGCTCCACCACATCTCTTCTCACATCTTTCCACAGGAAAAAAGGTCAACACCTATTCAGTCATTTCATGTGTGGAAGCTACTTCAAAACTTTGATCGACCCTTTTGCCCTCCTTTACATTTATCTACACTTACCTATCAATTTTATCATAATATCCTTCTACAAACCTTCTTAGTTAGGCCTCATCTCTACTACCCAGAGAAAAAAAAAAGGGATCTCCACTTCCTGTTCCAAATTATTTATGAACAAAATGAACGGCACAGGTTCAAGCACAGTTCTTCACAAACCTCCACTGGTGATTTACTGCTATGAAAACTGGTCATGCACATTACCTTGTTTCTTATCTTCTAACAAATTACCTACTCTGGTAAATCCTTACTCTTATCCCAAATCTGTTCAGTTTCCTTAAACAGCCTTTGGTAAAAGCTTCAGTGAAACATTTTATTATGCAAGTAGGCTGTTATCAGCTTCAGCAACCTCAAGCAAGATGCCGGTTAACTCCTTAAAGAATGACAATTAGCTCTGCAATGCATAAGCTTTCCTTTACAAAAGCTGAAATAACCCTTCCACTGTGTCAAATTTAACCATATGTCTACAAATTCACATTTCAAATAAAATGTGACAGCACAGATACTGTGCTCAGTAATTCAGTCTCCTCCATGATTCAAGAAATCAAACTTGTCAGGAATGCAAAAGTGGGTTAAAGAAATGAGAGTGCTGCAATACAACTTGTCTTTTTTTTTTTTAATTTCCTCAAGAAGTTTAATAAAAAAGATGAATTTTTTTGTTTCTATTCTTGTTTTATAATGCATCAGTGAAATTCAAGGAATTCCTCAGCATTACACATCTGAATTGTATTACTAACACACAGAGACATCTTAGAAAAATCATAGTTATCACTTTTATATTATTTAAATTAGTAAATTTTGTTATTTTAGTTTGTAATGACTGCAATCAAAAAGAAGATCCTTTTACAGGCCACTTAGAAAGAAAAGTAATTTAAGTGTTATACTTCTCTACAGAAGTTTTTAAGCGCTTTGAGTTACAAAACAAAACAGACCCAGTAAGATAGAGCAACTTAAAAAGAAAGACTTCTTTCAGAATACTAAAGAAAATGGGGGTTTCAAAAAGACACTTTGGAATATTTTTAAATTAAGCAGAAATGATTTATGTTCTTTAAATAATGAAGATACAAAAAAAGGTCAACAGAAAATATAAAGGAATAGGGAACTCTAGCTCCAAAATATGTAAAATAGAGAGATCTCTTGAGTAAAGATGTCCAGAGATAAATTGCCAATGAAACCAGAAATGGCCTAGTAACTTTCAGTTCCAAATATTTATTACCAAAATGTTTCCTTTTTTCCTTTTTTTGTTTTGTTTTGTTTTTAAGGAAAAAACAAATTGAATAACTAAGGTGAATAACATACAGATTAAAAAATAACATATATTTTTCTTTTGCCCTCAGAATGGAAGAGAAAATTTCAGAAAAAAATTATCTGTGAAAGAATTTACTTTGAATTAAAATTAAGTTACATTTTTAAATAGATGGGTAACGAACGATACTAGGACAAGACTAAGCAATTCCAACTTTTTAGCAAGGTATTAATTACAGATAATTAGTAGGGTGTGGAGAAGTTCCATAAATGGGCTAAAGCATCTTGCTGGCTTCAAGGGATGAAATATGACACAAAGCAAAGTAATAATTAAAACCGTATTTCACTAACACTTGTACATCATTACATTTACCACTCTAATTATCTGTAATTGTTTAAACCTAAACATATTGTCACAGTGTACTCTTCTGCAAGACTGATACACTGATGTCAGAGGAGAACAATGAAATGGAAGCATGAGCTCAAGATCAGCTTAGTTTATATATTACCCATATGCTAAACAGCTCCACAAATGAAATTTTAAATCTATATTTAAGTTGCAGAATCTGAAAGCTTCTATATTGCTCTAAGAAATTCAGTTAACAAATTAAGCATTATCAGAGAGTGCCTATAAAAAAGTTGTAGAATATCTATGAGGAAAATTCTTACTGACCCAGGCATGCAAACATTTCCATCCTAAGTCTTCTGTACGCATTTCGTTGTACATCTAGAGCCAATTTACAGTACAACAATCTGTTTAAAACTCTTACTATTTCTGAAGTCTCTTTTTGACTGAAAGGCTTTTTAACATAAAGTTTGACAGAGTACAGTTAACTGCACTTGACATGCACACATAGCTTTGTGAAACAATAGATATAGTTTAAGTTTCAGACCACAGATTTGAAATGGTGGAACAGCTGGAAATATTGGCACAAAACATATCCACGAAAGAAAGAAAACAGATTAGTTTAGCTCTTTAAATGACACAGAAGGAAATATGTTATTTAAAAATGCTTTTGAACTGTTGAATATTCAAAGGCATTCTAATAGGTAGTTTTGGGGACTGACTTTTTTGTGTGTGTTTTTTTGTTTGTTTGTTTTCCAAGAGTGGATGTTTGAATAAAGTATTATGGATGGAGTGAGATCCAGATTTTAGCATTACACCAATTCTTCTTCCCCTGCCCCCTAGGGGCAGATTAGTTTGAAAATATTTTGATAACTAATATTACTTCCTAAAATGCAAACTATAGTGTTGTTGCTTAGCCTTAAACATGGAACAAGGGGTTAGAGAAAAGAGCAGCTACACAGCCTGTATCTCCCTGGTACTTACTAATAGTCCACAAGTGAACTTGTTTCCAATATAATACTTTGAACAAGGAAAATTATAAAGAAGCAGTATTTAACATTAACAATTGCTTTTACTGTTAACATGCACTATTTTACACTATCTTTATACTGATAAAAGATTTTGAACAGATATGGGAACTGGTAACCATACAGCAGAACAAACACAGATGCAAAAAAAAATTTAATTACAGCACTGTCATTTTCTTATTTTTTCATCATTCCTTTGTTTTATAATAAGGAAACAAAATCAATATTCTTTATGTGTTAACTGAAAGAAAATCTTCAGATTTGCTGCTTTACACAGGTACCTCTAAAGCCTGTATAGAGCCAGTCTTTTACACTGCTGTAAAAGACTATGGCTATGTTATTGGCTATGTTATCTTTAATGCTTTTTCCATTGTCAGCAGCAAGTGTCACCATTTTACTCTCCCATGTAAATCCATTCTATAACAATATTAGAACACTTGCAATTAAAATGCATAACTAACAACAGCAGAGCATTATAATTTTTCCAGATCCTTGCAAATCAAGTTTCCACTGCTAAAATGCCACAGTACATCACAAACATTCATCATCAGGAACATTTTATTAAGTTAAAAAAGAAGCAGACACAAGCTCTTGCTGAACCTGAATTGGCCTATTTTTATCATATTTTATAAAGAATTTTTTTTGCCATGTTCGTTACCATGGAAACCAAAAAATGCTGAATCCAACAGTGGATTTTCAGCAAGCACTCAGCCTACAGCACTACACCACAGCTAAATGAGAAATAACAGAAGCAGCAAACAGAAGAGGGAAACACGTGAATGAGGAAACAGTGAGATTAATTAAGTTCAGATAAACTCATCTCTGAAACAATTTCTACTGTAATTATTAAAGCTGCTGTAACATACATCCA